TTAAAATCAGTCAGGCTGCACCAAATTACACACACTCAAATATATCAGTCAAGATCCATGAATTATTCTCTGGGAAAACAATAATAATAGTAAAAAATGCAATCTCGCAATGTTAAATAAAGTGTTCTTCCCTGACCCAAACAACACATTCTCCCACCACGTTTTGTGGTAAATTATTTAGTATAGCTACAAACACACAAATGAAGAGGGGTGAAAACATAAACTACTTTTCAGAGATGATAAAAAAACTTTTTAAAAACTTCTGTTGTCCAAAATCAACTCATAAAAGCTGATATTTACATGCACACACATTTACAAGTTCACACTCTTTCCTGTTTTTATTTCCCAATCATGAAAACGCCTGTTAACTTGATTGCTTGTAGATTAACATTTACAACTCAATGATATAAATGCAGCTACTGAAGATCTCAGTGATGAATATTATTTCCTATCCAAGGTGTCTGGGCTGAATTGCAGTTAATTTATTATACACGCAGGTGAATCGCAGCAGTCAGCCTGAAGGCAGGGCTGCATGGATGTTGACCCCGGGGCCCATAAATCACTGGCAGTATGTGTGGAGCTCCATTATCGCTCCAGAGCTGGAACTAAAAGAGCCCAGTGCTGAAAGAGAAGCCAAGTAAATAACATAACGCTGAGTCCATCACTGCTGCCCTGGAGCTATTCTCTGTGGGAGAAATGAACATGTATTTAATTGAAAGTGGGTTTTTTTCCTGACCCTGTAGTATTTATGAAACATGTTTACGTTGTCTATAATAGTCTGGAAAATGGATGTAATTGACAGTGCTAGGGGTCGCGGCTACAAAGGACCGCAAAAATAGTTAGCTGAACAGAAGGTCCCATTTCTCCAGAGCCAGTTGACAACACTTCCTATTAATAGTGAGGATTGTCCTTGGGTATTTTTAAAAAGGAGATGGCGTGTGTGTGCATGAGGAAAGTAAGGCAGAAGGGGATGAAGCTTTCTCGGAGAAGACTGATAGAAAAAAGCTCGTATTACAGCAGCCTGCACCGCTCAGCTGATGCTTCTCACGGCTTGTTTTACTTGTCCCCAAAATCTTCTCCTCCTCCTCCATCCTCCTCAATACACTTGATGTCACTTATTCCATGTATCTCTGTTTTTGTCCGTCATTTTCTCCACTGTGTTATACACACACACACACACATATATACATATACACACACACACACACACACACACACACACCCCTGGTCTATTCTTAGCATGCTGTGGGGTTTGAAGGTAGAGTTGTGTCGACCCCTTGTCTCACCCCAGCTCCAGGCCTTACAAGGACCCCCTGGTGGACACGGTTGCCCGGCAACAGGCTGTGTTTGCGCCTAAGCTGTGACGGTCCAGCGCACAACCTGCACCTGCCCTTCATCATCTTAATTATCAACGTCATCGTCCCCCGTCCTCCTTCACGGCATCATCGTCCTTATCACGGTTCAGCGTGTTAATGTAGAAGAGAGGACAGATGCAATGTTGAAGTGTCAGAAAATTGATACACCAGCTGGATGAAAAACAAAGTACTTGCTTTTTGAAAAGACAATATACGATGAAAAGCATCATCACAGAGGTGATGCAAACCCTGCACATGCTGCTTGAGGCCCAATCAGACAATATTGTAATAACGCCGTTTCATCATATGTGGGCAGCAATCTCACTATTTCAGCTAATTATCCTTAAACACCAGCCTGCAGGGAGGCAACACCTGACTGAACGTCCACACTGTCGTTCTCCCAGCCACAATGTAATTTCTAGAATAAAGTGTGTTCAAGAAATACTTGCGTAGAATGTGGTGCTAGTTATACCAAGATCATCAATCCCTACACTAGTGCAAGTGTTTGTTTTTAAGATTACACAAAAACAACTGAATGGATTTCCGCATATCTTGGTGGACAGATGCAGTGTGGGTCAGTGCAGTGCAGCGATGCAGTTAACAGTGGTGAAGCAGTGCGGGGGGGTAGAGTGTGGAGTACAGCGCGATGGTGCAGTGCAGCGATGTGGTGAAGTGCACAGTGGTGGTGCAGCAAGGGGGCTAGTGCCTCCGACAAATTTCAATGACGTAGCGCTCATGGTTTGTTTTACCGGTTTGCAGCCAGATACAATTTATCAGACAGAAAAAGTCCCTTTGGTCTCACATGTGTGAAAATAAAGGGTCAGTTCTTACTCAAACTTTTGAATTTTTGTGGATGTGGGAGGCGCCTTTAATGCAGCTCTAATCTGATTTGTTGAAGAGAGTTGGACGAGAAGATCAATACAATCACATTCACAGTTACTATAACAACCAGCTTGCTCCTCATCCTTACAACTTTTATCATGATCAAACGTTTACTGAATCTTTACCAGGGTGAAAAGTTTAATCAGGATGTGGTTGTAATTTATCAGCTATAATCATCATCCTCATTATTATTCTTATCTTTCTCCGCTGAGTCACCATTTCACCCCCATTTAACTCTGATTTCCATCAGTGTCGTAAAGTCCAATTAGGCTAATGATCCTGCGGAGATGGAGAGCGAACAGTGCAGAGTGTGACAGTGAAGTGTGATAATGATGGCAGGGCTGGAAGGAGCAGAAAGGTCGAGGTCATTAGTAAGAGGCAGCTGCTGGAGACACAGCAACATGTCGGAGGAGAGAAGAGGAGCACACACGACGCTCGAGTCCTCGAATCCACACAGTCTGAGGGCAAACACTGGTCTCTGATCGAATATGGACAATAAAACATTAAGGGTCAAAATGGATGTAATGTTTTCCAGACTACTAACATTAATAACATTAATAAAGTCAGATTAATAAATAAGTTTCACAGAAAATTGTACAAACCCAATAAATCACATTTTTTTAACCAAGAGAAAGAAGACACAACTTTATTGAATCAGCCAGTTTGCTGGTTTAAATTGTCATTAGTGAATCACATGGCTCAAACGTGAATGAAAACCTGTTGCACCTCGAATAAAAATCAACAGCAACAGGATAACAGGACGTTGTTGTGATGATTTATTACAGAATTAAAAATCGCTCACACAAGCTGCAAAACAACTCTTCATATAATTCAATCATTCCATTTCAAAATGATCAATTTTCTCAAAATCGGTCCAATGCACAAAATCTAGTGAAGCGCAGACGTAGAAATCTGTGATGGAGAAGTTACACAATTATTCTTTTTAAGACATCGATAGAAAATAATCTCTCAGTGAGCAATAAAAATCTTCCATGCGCTAAAAATGTGTGTCACAGTGACGACAAAGTGAGGACGGTATAAGTTACTCATTATAGACTGTAGTTCACATTTATTCAGAAGATGAAATATCATGTATTCAGACGATGTGTGGATGAATGGTGGATTTAATGGCATTGTAGCAACACAGGATTAAACTGAAACCATTTCATAGAGTGAAATCTATGTCAAGACAAAAGAAAAATATACATGATATATGATATATACATTATAGAATAGCCTACTTTAAAATGTAGTTCTTTCCAGTTTAGCCAGTAAATATTTCCCCATAAAAAATTACAAATGATTCTGAAAAAATGCTTCGTGTTAGAGAGTTTTGCCGTTTTCTGGGTTTACAAAATATGTAATCTCTTTAAAAAAAAAGTTAATAAACGTAAATAAAAATTATTCAAAAGGTAAAATCTCAGCTTCCACGTCACATGGTTCATCCCGAAACAGATAGCTGGGAGAATAAGAGATTTATGATTGTCTGGTTTCATCGAATCTGTCTGATACTGCAGTTATTCTTAGAGAGATGTTTTTTTTAATTTCAATGTAGAGGAGCTGGTCATTGAACGTAGCACGATGATTGACTCCTCGTTTCCACAGGCATCAGATCAGGGGTCAGAGGTCAGAGGTCAGATGTCCACACACACAGAAAGAGAAAGAGGGGAAACATCTTCACAGGGCATAAATAGCGACATGCACACACACATACACACTCTCACCGTGGTCCAGTTCTCTTTCATTGGCATATTTCATTGTTAGTAGCAAACGATAATATCTGGGTTATAATAACATGACGAGTAATAAGAAGAATACTATATTTTACAGGATGGCTTGAATTTTATCTGCTGCCAATAGTTAAACTGCTCCTTTAATTTCTTTATAATAAAAAACATTCTCTTTTTAAGAATCGCTATGATAAGAAGAATCTGTGTGTATATGTAAGTGTGTGTGTGTGTGTGTGTGTGTGTGTGTCAGGGGGAGTCAGGGGCCCTATAGGTTGCTGAAGAGTTCATTTTTCTTGGTCCAGTCCATGGGTGGCGCTCTCTTGCTGGAGCGTTTCTGGTGAGCGAGCTCTTTGACCTGCTGCAGAGTCAGGTTGAGAGCGGGGATGGCATCTGTCATCAAACCCTGGAGGGTGAAACACGAACATGCTGCATCTTTTGTTTTTTTAATTGCATATGATTATTGTGCTGTAGCGTCTTCTGAGACGTACCTCAGGTGGGGTGTTTGCGGGCGGGGTTGTGAGTGAGGTGTTGGAGGAGGCGCTCGACGGAGAAGGACTGATCGACAGCTTCGAGTCCCTCTCTGCCTCTTTGGGTCGTCTGCCGTTCGCCTGGGGACACAGACGCATCAGCATTGCTTTATCACATGTGACTGGCAGAGTTGGCACATTTTCCACCAGTAAAAGTGAGAAGCAAGTTTAGGGCTGGACAATATGGACACAAAACATTTTATAAATCTGATGAATTATTGAGATATGAATCAATATGTACATTATTGATATTATTTAATTGCCCAGCCCTAAAACAAAGGCTCCGGTTCAATGGGGGAAACGATTATCCTTCTTTTCTTGACTTGGTGCAGTAACAGACGTGTCCACAGAGAGGCAGGCTTGGATTTGATTTGATCTTGTGTCTCGTTTGTTTCTCAATAGTTACACCAAACTTCTACTAGAAGTTTAATGTAACTTACAAATCTGTTTATTGAAGTCACTATAAAACTTAAAGTAAGTAAACATTTCATTTAGTCCCTGTGAAGCAGCAGTGAGGACCTTAGTGAGACTGTGGGAATCTATTTGTCATGTATTTCTTTAGAGGGTTGTAGAATCAGTTAAAACCCTCATTGAGAAACGTCCTGCATCTGTTGTGGTTGAATTACTCATCAAACCGCTCAGCGGGTTTCCTGTTCTCTGTCTTCTGTGGAGCTGGTAATGTTGCAGGATGAGGCGCTCTACAAAAACCACATCTCTCACCTCACAGACGACCACAGCCCGACCTCTCACATCCCCCCTCCCTCTCAGCTCCTCAACCTTCTAACCAGCGTCTTGTTACGCAAAGTTTTGCGGAACATGTAACTTCACTGGTGCACGTACGGCCCCTGGACTAATGGAAAGCTAGGGTCAGGCATCACTTTGCACATTTGGAGAAGGAGTTTCGTTTAGAGTTTGTGTCCTGGGGTCTTAATACAAGTCTGGAATGATCTGATCTTATTAAGACTAATTTACATAATAGTCTAGAGAACAAGACACTCAGGTAACATGAGAGACCCCTAAAAAGCATTCCTGTGATGCCCCTGACGACTAAGGAGAGCACCTGCACACACACAATCTGTTTTTCTTGGAATCCACAAATGTTCGGGTTCGGACTTTTTGTAAAACACATTTGTTCTCTTTCTGGGATAAAGTTTGATGAGAAGATAGATACTATTCAGGTAGAGACACTAAATATACACCTGCACCATGAGGTCACCTGATAGGTCACGTGACTGCCCAAATTACAAAAAAAAAAAACCTACAATATATAGATATATATATTTCTTGCCTTCTGGTTTTCTTCGCTATATATAACAATATGAAGCCATTTAGCTTAGCTTAGCAGTTTACTCTGCAGTGGTGGTGGCGTTGCAACATTTTGGGGATTACACCCAAATACTACATGAGGATTAAAATGAAGCTGCTATTCTCCGTGCCTCTTTTATTCTCAATCTGATGACTGATTGATGAGAAACTTTATTGATTGAATAATTAAGATTGTCTGTATATTCTCCATCCTTGGTCCCTTTAAATAAGTTAATGGAGTTGTAGCTGGGTGGGGTTTTCTCGACGCACAGTGAACACCAGAGTGTTCAGACAATCACAGGAAAGTGTTCTCAGTACACGTCTCTGTGATTAATAACTCACTTCACCAGTCTCTCACTTCTCTCCTCGAATGGCACATGAGGAAAAAATGCAGTGAGTTACTTTCAAACACCGTTTGACCTTGGCCTGCTGGGCCGTGTATTCAAAGCAGGAGGCGGAACTATTACTGTCGTCCGTTCTGCCAGGAAGGAGAGGCTCCTTCGGTGAAGAGGGAAGTGGTTGCTGTGGGAGACCGACAGCTCCTCGCACACTTCAAAGTTCTTATCCCACTCATGGCTTCGCTCTAAAGCCAAATCAAGTCATGGCGCTGTGTCTCTCTACTCTGTGTGGTGAGTTTGCTTACCTTCTCCTCCATTCCTCCATTGATGACAGGTTCTGGCAGCGGACCTGAAAACATGCAAACGACACAAGAATCAGTCATGTCATCCAAAAATAAAACTCTTTCTGTCTCTCTCCGTCCGTCGGCATCAGCGTCTTCCTGCCCCTCACTGTGTCATGATACCTGCAGTCCTGCACCATCAGAGCACAGAGCTCCACTCTGCTGGGTCAAGAGTCTTCTCTGCAGCTCACCTTTCATTCCTCCGACACCTGCTCTATTACATAGCGCAGGTACGAGCACATCATCTATTATTCACACGTGGATCATCCTCTATGAGATGCTGCTCCTCTATAGTCCTCTGACTGTACCTCCCCCTCCTCCACCTTCTCCCATGAAGCTTCAGGCCTTCTGCAGATCACATATCTGCAGTTTGACCTCATCAGAAACTCGCTGACATTCCTGTGAAGCCACGTTTAAACAGAAACCCTGGTCACAGAGGTCTGGAATATCCCTTACCTTCCATCCCTGTGTGTGATCCTCCAAAGAAAAGTGTTTAGAGATGATAATGAGCTACTATGGCAGACAGCAGCGGCTCCTTCCAAGTTAATCTGAGAATCGACTCCTCCTCTGGTCTTTGCAGTCTTTGAGTGTGTGTGTGAGTGTGTGTGTGTGTGTG